CCCCCCCCCCCCCCCCCCCCTCCTTTACTTTATGACCGGTCTCTTATCACTTTTTCTTTCACACGCGTGTCACCGACAACTTATATAATTGAGATTCCACGAAAAATTAGATATGTTTGGTCCAGATTTCATACCGATATGGAATAATACACAATTAGTATAATTAACAATTAGACAACGAGGCCGAGTTGTCTAATTGTTTTAGTATAAACTTTAACATTAATTTACATCTAGGCTGCAAACACAATACAAAAATACACAAAAAACATTATAAAACCATAAAAGGTAAACATATATTTTAGTTTTTGTTCGCGTAAAATGTTTTACAAAATACAGTTGTAAATTTAAAATTACATTGAGTGTATGTTATTTTGTCTATTTTCTTACCCTTAAAAATTGCCATTCCATATTTTTGTTGCTTTTTCGGGGTTTTTTAGTACAGAATTGTTCAACAAGTCGCTTTTAGTGTTCAACAGACACTTGACAAAAGTGCAAAACGCGAATTTTCCGCCATTTTAAATTTTCTATTAGTAGGCTATCACTAATAGCCTACTAGTAGCGTAGCCAATCAGAAGCCACGAGATGTGATAGCCTACTAGTAGGTTTATACTAAATTTTGAATATCAAATGGCTTTCGCGCGTTCTGATTGGCTAGTTGACTAGTATATCAAATTTTGTTTCAAAATCGACAAAATATTGAAAAAATTGTCGTAGAAAACGAAAAAAGCACAAAATGTTGTATTTACAATATAACTTGAAAGGTAGGATTTTTTTATTATTTTACTGTGTCAAACATATTCACTGACAATTTAAAACTTATTTAATACTCCGACACATTCTCTTCAAACAATTATCAAAAACTATCCCGGCTGTTGGGAAAAGCCGTGCTATTCTTTTTAAAACAATTTTGTTTTGCATCCTATAAATTTCCCAATTTGTATTTTGTACGGTACTATTTCTTTTGATATGTCATGTTTTCATCGTGCTGTATGATGTTCTGTCCGCTGTATTGTGTTTTCGAAACTTGTAAAGTAAAAAGTGTTGATAAAACTTTATTTCGGACGATAAAGTTTTACATTTCATTTTACCAAATTCCTAAGCCATTTCCTGAAGGAATTAATGCTAAACAGAAACTACTTTTAATTCTTTCAATTAATGCAAGAAACTCTGCAACACTATTAGTGAACAGCCCGAAAACAGTTTTATTTCTGAAATTTAATTGAACTGATATTCGGATATTTCGTTTTATTCATTAAAAATTTAAACTAAAACAATTATTCGCCTCAGGCTCAGTGATTAAGGTAAACATTCACCAAGACGTTGACTCGATGATTATTCACCTTTAATGACTTTGCCTACGGCGAATAATTGTAAACTTGTTAATTTACCCGGTGGAGCCATAGATATCTTATATACACTAGATAGCGCATCTCTTTTAGTAAAATTGAAGCCAAGAATATTCCAGCGGTTACCCCCATTTGAATAGATGGCGGCCATGTTGGTCGTTCCCACTTGCTAATAAACGCTTAAAAACAACAATAACTTTCATGACTTGAATAGTTGATAAACGTATTTGGAATAGGATTAACTTAATGTTTAAGTTCCCTGTTTAAGAAATAGAAAACATACGAATCTTCTCATTTTATGGGAACGACCTGCGACTGCAATCACGGCTTCAATTTTTGAATTTCAGAATAATTAGATGCACTATCTAGTGTATATAAGATATCTATGGGTGGAGCAGGGTGGCGCAGTGCAAGCGTGCTGGGCCCTTAACTCAGAGGTCAATGGATCGAGACCATTTCCTGCTAAATCTGCTTCATTCCGAAACAATAAGTTTCGAAAAAAATAACACCGTTAACATGACTTGCTCCCGTGGCCCAGTCGGTTAGAGCGTCGTACTTATAAGCAGCACTGAAGTATATGCGAAAGTCGAGGGTTCGATCCCCTCCGGGAGCCTTTTTCCCTAACCATTACTTGGAAACGTTTACTGTCAATGCAATGGAAGTGTTGATAAAATACTGCATGAATTCTGTTTACTTCTTGTGCGTTTCTTATTGGTCAATCGGTTCTGAAACGAAATCTAACTGGCTCATCTAAAAGTATCAGGAATTTGATTTGATTAACTTGGGAAGCAAGGTTTTAAACATTTTTCCCTAACCAATATTTGGAAACATTTGATGAAACAATGGGTTAAAATCTTCGATTTCGAAACTGGAGTTCAGGAAATAACAAATGGCAGCCGTGGGATTCGAACCCACGTCATCGAAATGACTGGTGCCTAAAACCAGCGCCTTAGACCACTCGGCCACGCTACCATATCAGATGCGGAACAACATTTCTTCAACAATAATTTTCCAGAAGTCTTGAAATAACGCGCGAACGTTAATCTGGAGTGGAGAAATTCCTTCTTGAAACATCGAAAATCAAATGGTTCTGTGGTTAGCATTTTTGACTCTGAATCTAAGCATCCGAGTTCAAGTCTCGGCAGAACCTCAAGTCTGACATTAGTTTTGTTTCCTTCACGTGTTCCGGTGTACTCCATTGTTCCATATGGATTCGTCTCCGCCGAAGATATTTCATCCGGTAATGACCACGTCATCGAAATGATTGGTATCTAAAACCAGCGCCTTAGATCACTCGGCCACGCTACCGTATCGGTTGCGGAACAACATTTCTTCAAAAATAATTTTCCAAAACTCTTCAAATAACCCGCGAACGTTAATCTCGAGTGGAGAAATTCATTCATGAAACATCGAAAATCAAATGGTTCTGTGGTTAGCACTTTGGACTCTGAATCCAAGGAATCGAGTTCAAGTCTCGGCAGATCCTCAAGTCTAACATTATATTTGTTTCCTTCATGTGTTCCGGTGTACTCCATTGTTCCATATGGATTCTTCTTCGCCGAAGATATTTCATCCGGAACGACCCTTCTCTAATACACTCTTTTTCACAAGAGGAAATGCCATGGATTTCCTGGGCATCAATTCGTTGGTATTGGCTGCCGTCGGGAATTTTAATCATATTCCTTCATCTCTCTTGAATCCTGGTTTACCTTGGGAAATTAAATGGCAAATTTAATACTCCGAAACATTCGCTTTAAACAATTAGCAAAAACTATCCCGGCTGTTGGAAAAAGCCGTGCTCTTCTTTTTAAAACAATTTTGTTTTGCATCCTGTAAATTTCCTAATTTGTATTTTGTTGTTAAAAAGTACTACAAGTCTGTATTAAGCTCAATTAAGTTCTAGTTTAATACTAAAAGGCGGCCTTCGCGCCATGTTTTTTAAGAACAACAACTTACGCATGCGCACCTGCTAGGACTCCCGACTGCGGGCTCAAAACCAAATATCAACATCTCCCTATTTATACAAAAAGCATATATATATATATATATATATATATATATATATATATATATATATATATATATATATATATATATATATATATATAAAATAGTGTGTG